AAGTTATCATTTATAGAAAATTAAATTTACCAACAAAATTTTGAAGTAACAAAATCAGACCGATTAAGTCACAATTAACAAGAGATGTGTTTTCCATCTAATTAAATCCTTTAGACTTTTATCTGCAGGAATACTTAAAATTTCTTGTATATTTAATTATATTATACAATTGTATGTATAATTCAAAAGGGAAGAAATGCTGCATCAACATATTTTTCATACTTACGAAACCATTCTGTAACTTTCTTGGAACTTTCGAAAGAGTAAGGCAGTCCATAATCCGAAGATGCAATGTCGGAAGCACTCCTCGATGAGTGAAGCGGAGTAATTTAAGAGTGAGGCGTGATCACCGGCTAACATAAAAACTGGCGCCGAGATGAACAGCCTGCAATTTGAATTATTTCGTCAATATTCCAAGTTGAAAATTACGTAAATGAACGTATTTATCAATTACGTTCCTCAAATTTTAAGTATAATATGGAATAATTTTATATATATAAAATGTCTCTTGTCGCTGAATCGTGTATAGTGAGTTCGATGTGTACATTCAACCAGATGTAGGACACTTTGAACATTTCTTGTGAATTACAACTTGATATTGATCAGTTAAAAATTTTGTTATTGAATCTAATCTTTAAATGACAACTTCTGACACATTTTCGGACATAGCTTTATCAATTTTTTTATTCACTATACGATGTAAAGAATTCGCTCCAAAGGTTTGCCAAAGAAATATGAAAATATCCATCAATATCCTGCTATACCTACTGCTTTTTTTTCATAGTTATTATTCATACATGGAACACAGGGGGGATAACAACAGAAATGCGATTTTTTTTATTAAAATCGAATATGCCGCAGATATATATGTACATATCCATGAATTAAACGAGGTAATATTAAAAATTGCGAAACTAATATTAAATGAGTCAACCGTATAAGATTCTCGGTGCTGTTAGTGCTGTAGCAAACATTTGTTTTGATTTTTACATCTCCCTCCCCCTCTCTTCTCGGACGGTCCATAGGACTCTGCACGAGAGATGGTTATCAAAATCTATCGACTACATATCATTGGCGCGGCGCCCTTTTTTCTCTCCCCATGCCAAAGTTCAGCGGACTATTGATTCATCAGCATACAAAACGTTATACGCCGCTCGCGCCCAACGAAACCTCTATTTCCAATTTTATTAATCTCTTCAATCTGCCGCTACGGTATATATATTTGTTATTTTTTCATTTTATTTTTCCCCCCGATATAAATAACCGTATCTCGCCACCGATTTGTTACGACCACGATACGAACGTGAAAATAATTCTGTCGTTATGTGTGACTATCCCTACCTTTTCGTTAACTAAAGAATGACGCGTACACGGGACATGTTTTATTGGCAACAAATATCGTCTACAGGGCGATTTTTCGTATCGCACTTTACCACATACCTACGTTCGTTAATTATATACCGTACTTACAGATTTGTGACGCAACGCAAAGCTGATAAAAACGTCGTTCAGAAACATCTTGTAAATGAGATAAAAGTTGTGAAATAGAGTAAAGTCGAAAATTGTATCGTGAGATTATTATACATCGCTTTTATACATATATTCGATAATAAGAGGCTTACCACGTCGCCGTCGGTCACCGGTTTCCATCCGAGACACATTTGGCGGCAACGTCCCCAACTCTCTTCAATCGGATCCGCAATATGGCCGCCGGCGGGTATCACGTGACCGATAGAGGAACTCTGACCGACGGATCGACGCTCCCTCTGTCCCTCTTTGCCGGAATCCCTCTCGTTTGTTTTTACGACCGTAGGCGGCGTATAGGCCTATACGCCAGCAGCGTAGGCGCCGGCCACGGCACCACGAGTTCGCCGGCGTGGCGTGAACGTGTCTCGTCTCTACGTAAATACGTAAACCGTCGTGCTCCACACACGAGCTAACGATGTTAGTGCTCCTAATTGCGATATGCATCCTATCCGGCGCGCACGCCGCGCACCTCGAGCGGGTGCACGACGAGGAACTCCTGAATCTCATGAAAGTCGAAAAATACGTGATCGTTCTATTTAGTAAGTTTGTTTCTTTCTTTTTTCTCCCCCCTCCTTTGTTTTCTGCTTTGTTGTCGTTCTCAAGCGGCTTTTCAGGCGAAAAGAGGAAAATATTGCTCGGCGAGATACTAATTATATGTCATTTTTATTTTATTTATGTATTACTTGAATTACTTCCCGATTGTTATATTCTTATGTTGCAAATTGGAGTTGACATAAGGCTCCATGATCTTATCCCTCAGGAATGTTGCAGTTCGTAATTTTCCCTTCGGCTAATGATCCTGACAGAAAATGTTTGCTATAGTTGATCTCTCGAAAAGGCACGCAATTTTGCCAATCAGTTATATTTTATTAAAATATTATGTAAGCCGCAAAACGCTACGATCCTCCTTCTAACTGTGAATACATGATAACAATTTTGTGATTTGCCTTTAATATTACAAAATCTTACAATTACTAATGGCGATACTTTTATTTGCAGCGACCAATGACTGTGAAGACTGCAATACGTATGAAAGAAAGCTGGCTCACTTGCGGGAGGATCTCGTCGATGCCATGTCCGCATGGGTTGTTAAGACTGTTGATAGTCAATTACTTCAATTATATAGCAATGCTAGAGAACCTGTTCTACTGTTTTTCCGACATGGGATTCCCTTGTTATACGACGGTACGGATTTAACAAGAAATTACACTTGGATTACAATTGGATTTTTTTAATCATTTAATTGCGCTCTGTGATAGTACATGCTTTATTATCCCGTATACATTTATGATATGTCGCTACGTATATTCTCTTATTTCTGTGCTCGTAAATATGCAGTTGCACTATAGATTTTTATGTTGCATCTTCTCCCACAGGACCTTTGGAGGACGAGGACATAATAAATACGTTTACGGACAATAAAGCACCCACGGTAAAGGAACTTACGGACGACACATTTGAGCATTTAACTCAAGCAAGCAGCGGTGCCACGACTGGCGATTGGTTCGTTATGTTGTAAGTCTCGGGCCTTATGTCTACATCTATAGAAATTATTTAATTTATTTTATAACTAACGGCAGTACATTCTAATCACGGTTTATAATGTCAGTTACAGCACGGACTGTGTACAATGCTTGCGCATGATGGCAAAGTGGGAAACGGTCGGTGCCAAACTTAAACACAGATTAAATGTAGCACTTGTTAATAAAGCCACAACTGGGGTTTCCACAGCCAGGAGATTTAATGTTTATAATACTCCACAATTTATGCTGTAAGCATATAGATATAAATTAATGTTTGATATCTTGAACGATATTTATATTATATAAATGCATTGTGGGATAAGCACAAATTGAAAAGGTGACATAGATTAATGCATTTTACTTGTACAGATTTAGGCATGGCAAAATGTATCGGTACGATTCGACGACGTACGATATTGCTTCCTTAATAGCATTTGCTAAAGAATGGTACAAAGATATAAGACCAGAGGAAGTACCTCCACTTCCAAGCTTCTTGTAAGTTTAAAGATCCGTTTAGTTACTTAAAAATTTATTGTTTTAACTTATTTGTTAGTTTGTACATATATTAATGTATCATATTGTTTTCCAGTGATGAATACACAAAAATAATTCTAAACTTTCTCTACGAAAATCCGTGGATACTCAAGCTAACTAGCATTTGCATTGGGGTACTAGTTATTGTTCTAGCAGCTATTAAATGTATGCAATCGGATGAAACTCCAGAGGAAAAAGAAGACTAAATCTATTGCATTTGATCTGCCAAAAATATATTACGAATGTTTCTCTGTACGGACTATTGTCTAGTGCTGAAAATAATTTTTGATTGTACATTAAGTTATTGCACATATGTGAAAAGTATAATTTTAAGTTTTATAATATTTTTATAAATCTGTCTTTTTCAAAAATATTTTAAAAATATTTATTAAATTGCAAATTTGATGAAATAATTGAGAAATTCGATTATCTCATCGCGCGAAAGTATAATTACAACATTTAGTATACGTGCAATGATATAAAATTAAGAATATATTTATAATAATTGAAATTATCTTGAAGATTAAGAGAAGATAAATGTGTTTTTCTGCATAATAATCTAATGTACACAAATATTTGCATTGATTCACAAAAAATATATTTTTTTACTAGAAATATATCCAAAAAGTTATATAGTATGTAATGTACAGAGACAATGTCTATAACAGCAGCAAATTTAAGAAAGGCAAAGCGATATCATTAAATTTATTTAAAAATTAAGCTTTAAGCGGATTTAGACTACGTTTACACGTCACTATTAATCGGGTTTAGTAACATCTGTAATTATAACTGAAACGCGTGCTAGTTTACACGAAGAAATGTTATTTTATTTCTACTCAAAGAAATTTTGAAATTTTTGCAATTTTATCTTAAGTTGGCAATGTAATCATAACTCAATGTTTACACATTTCTCTCGTCAACGGGTGTAATAGATATTATAAAACCGGATTTAACTAGCGATTTAACTATACATTTTATGTCAGCAGTTATAATTACTGATGTTAACCCGATTAATGATGACGTGTAAACATAGTCTATATTAGTTTTGTTAAAAAAAAACTTTTATTGTCAAGTCGGCCACATTCCATTAATTGTATGATATTACGTTATGTCCATTGTACATTATTATATCTGTTACTTTGGATTTTATTGCTTTTTTCATATACAAATTTTTATGAGCAATCCTTAGATTGTTTTATTAAAAAGAAGATAGAGAAAAACATATAATCAAATTGTACAAGAATATTTGTTATAAATTTTTTACAGAAATATATCTTTGATGCTAAAAATTGAAAACTAATCTTCAGATTCCAATTTTTGTATAAGCCACTTTTAATGTGCAATAACGGTATAAACTGAAAACAATTCTATATCGAACACATCTGACAATTTACTTTCATAATTACTTAAAAGTGATATTCTAAACCTTACCTATGTAATTTGCGCGTATATAATAAATTCTAGTGTTGTGACTTTCTAAAAGCATCATTGTTCTTCCGTGATACAATGACTTGTCAAGCTCAATATCTTTTCTTTAAGTTTTATAATATTCTAAATATGCTTTGAATTATTTAAAGAATAAAATTCATGAGGCACGATATTGTGATGACCTGATGACCTCGTAAATTATTCAATAGCAAATCTATTTTTGGGACTGAAGTTCAAACTTCATTAGTGTAATGTAGATTTGCTCTCTTTCTCGCTTTGTTGACAATATTTAAAAATTACTCCGATAAAATTATTGAAATCAATACATGTTATACACAGTAGCTCTAATTTCGTTAAGCAACTTAACGCATCACATACGTGACAAGCGTTATACTTTACGTATAAATACATATTAAGGAAACAGCTAAACGTATAGGAACGTATAGCCATTTATTAAATGGAACTATAATAAAACACATATTACATCAAGATACCACTAACATTATATTACTTAAAAAAAAAAGCAAAGATATCTATAACGTAGAAGTCAATTGTTAACTTAAATGCCATTTTAAATATCACAACAAAGCCAATATTGTGAAAATATACAACAAAAAATAAGTTTCCTATATGCTAGTCTAAAAATTGTACTTATTCCTTATATAGCCATTTTGGTCTTGTTTCTTACAAATAAAAAGGCAATTTGTATTTCGTATTAAATATTGTCAACCGCCACATTTATCCTGAAAACCGTTGATGTATTAGCTAACGCCATTCTGATACTGTTTTCAAACTTTTCTTGTATCGACGAGAATTCCATCATATTACTAGGCTTGGACTCGATCCAAAATCCGTCAAATTCATAAAATAGATAACAGTAAAACTGATGAAAGGCACGAATCGTCGGCAGGGTCTTGGAGGAATTATATATATGAGTCTTAGCGCTGCCGTCCCTCAGCAATTTCAAAGCCATGCTCGTGAGATTTATACCGACTATAGCGAATGCGTATCCGTAACGCGGATGATTCGAATGGGACAATACGTGCGTGGCCATGCTAGGATATTCTTGAGCAAAATAAACGAGATTCTCCAATCCCAGGATTCCCATCCCACGAAAATCCGTCTTGGGATCGTCCCCCTGGAAGCCGATCTCCTGCCACTGCTTGGTCACCCTCGCATCCAGTGGCTCGTACGGCATCAGGAGGTTCCACAGTTTCAGCAGCTTCTGCTCGTGCTCCGGATTATCCGCGCTGTACGGCATCTTCCTGAGCTCCTCGCACTCGACGCAGAGCTGACGGTAGCCCCAGATCAGCTCCACGCACTTGCCGAACGACTTGGCGAAGTCTGGATGCGCCGTGGGATTGATCTTCTTGGTCACCAGCACGGTCCTGATGGCATCCTCGAGAATCTTACGCTCGGTTCTCGTCGTTATTCCACGGTGATCGGCGATGTCGTTGAGGTACGCGACGAGGGTCCTGATGTTCGCGTCGCGCGACTGCCCGAGGGTCTCCTCGACGGCAAAAGCGCGCGGCGCCCCGGACGGCTGTCCGTAGCAGATCCTCTGCAGCTCGCACATCTGCGTGGTGTGGCGCAAGAACCATTTTATCAGGCGCCTGAAGTACCAGCACACCAGAGCCCAGAAGTACCTGAACATGCCTGCCCGGACGAGGATCGCGACGATTGTCTGTCAAGAAGCGTCACTCTAAAAGCGCCGTATCACCGCCGTGTTAACCTGTACCGTGGCCGGTCGTCGTCTCATCCCGACGATTCGTTTTCATCTCGCTGTGTAAATAACGTTATGCAAATACAGGGTAGAGAATCCAATAACCTCGCCAATGTGTCGCTACCTTCTTTCTCTCCTCCTCCCGAGCGTTTCACCCTCCGAATAAACCGCACAGGCAGTGTAATTTATATCAATATTGCATTATGCGCTTGACGTCGATTGTCGTCGATATATGTGTGTCTTTATATCTTTCCGCCTGTATTGCACCTATATAGGTACTCGTATTAAATCGTATATCGTGATCGTTGACATGCTACATATATGAAAGAAGCTTTCTATCTTTATCAAACAAAAAATGAAAAAATTTTATGGAATTAATTATAACTGATATATGCGTATAATTGTTTACTTAGCACTTGCAATTATAAATATTTGGGATTTTCATGCTCGCGTCCATTTTTGATCTTTGTAGTTACGTCGTCCGACATCCAATAAGGGTATCTACTGTCTAGAGACAAAAATGTCACTAGATGGAATTTCTAGAAAACAAACTTTCCTATTGGGCCGTTGGGCGTCGGACACGGATATCAGACGCAGTGTGAATCTTCCTAATCGTAAAAATTTATGGCTGTCGTTCACAGGTGATTACGAAAGTAAACGTTGGGGGATTTGATTTGAAATAAGTGCAATGACGCGAGATGGGCGTCAAGGATCTGTGGAATATTTTGTCGCCTTTGTGCGAGAGGAAGCCGCTGTACGAGCTGCAGGGAAAAACCATCGCGATCGATTTAAGCGGATGGGTCGTGGAAACCCAAACGATCACCGATAATGCGGCTCAACCGAGGATGTATCTCAAGTAAATCTGCTCTTCTCTTGATTTCATTTATTTCTATTTGTTAAAATATATTTAATTAAATAACGTTAGAGCAAAATAATAATGGATTAGTACAGTGGATAATACTCTATCGACATATACATTTTTTTTTAATGCACATATTGTTGATAATTTACAATATTTATACGATTCAAATTGTTTGTTGCAGGAACTTGTACTTCCGTACGGTGTTCCTTCTTATGCATGAGATATTTCCAGTATTTGTATTAGAAGGAAAAGCACCTATCATAAAACATAAAACTATTGCAAGAAGAAACAACGTTCGTAATGGATTTCAGGAGAAGACCGTTAAGAAAGGTGGAAGAACCCAGTTTAATCGAGTTCTAAAAGAGTGCAAAGAATTGTTAAGATGCATGGGTATTGCTTGTGTACAGTCTGAGGGTGAAGCGGAAGCTATGTGTGCTTACTTAAATGAAGATGGGGTACAACTATATACCATATACTAATTTTTTTTTTAATAAACAAATTTGACAAATTAGATAAAGAAAAGATGTACTTTTAGCTCGTGGATGGATGTATAAGCCAAGACAGTGACTGTTTCTTATACGGGGCGAAAGTAGTGTACAGAAACTTTAATATTAGCCATGGACATTGTGACGTGTACAGTATGGAAAAAATAGAGAAGACGTTGAACATAGGACGAAGTAAAATGATAGCTTTAGCTTTGCTATGTGGCTGCGACTATGATGAGGGAGTAAAGGGTGTTGGAAAGGAAGCTGCTTTAAAATTTTTCAAGACTGTGAGAGAGAAGGATGTCTTACAAAGGTTTGAGTATATTGCATGTTTATAGAATTTATCAAATTTTGTGATTGTAAGTGAACTATTTTTCTTTTCTCTTTTTTTTTCAGGATTCAAGATTGGAGAACTGACAGAAGTTTGGACAGAGCTGAGTCAAATTTGTTAAATCCAAATTTATGTACATCGTGTGGTCACCCAGGAAAATTGCAAAAGCACACAAAATCGGGTTGTGCTGATTGTGGAACTATTAGGAAATGTAATGATGATTTCAGGTAAAAATTACATAATTACAAGATTTAAGTATTACGTATATTTAGGAATAATAATTTATAATTTTTTATGTATACAGGGAAAAGAGGGCATTGATATTAAATGAGGTATCGTTAAGAAAGAAGGCACTCCAAGATGAAAATTTTCCAAACCAAGAATTGATAGATGAATTTCTTATCAGAAAGGATTCAGTTCCAACTAAATTAGATATAAAATGGAAACAACCTCAAATCAAACAATTTATTGTAAGTTTATTACTACACGTGCTATAATATGTTAAAATTATAAAAATTACTTTGTCAAACTGTCTAAACTTTCTATTTTATCAGGACTTTATGAACAAATATCTCTGTTGGGAACCACAATATGCGTTCGAAAAAATATTTACATTAACTACTAGATGGCAGCTCTTACATCTACCAGATCTTACACCTGATGAACGTTTCTCCATGACAGATTTATTTATTCCTGACAATATAAAAAAGATACGTAATATTAAATCTATAGCCAGTTACGAAATTATATGGAAGAAAGAGCATACTGTAATTGAAATGCTAAATGAATATAAAGAGCAAACAAGAGAGAATGGTGATGATGATGCTGTAGATGATAGTTTACTAACAAGTATTGAACCACAAGACTTGGTTCTAAAGTGTTACCCAGAATTGGTTGAGGTATATGAAAATACTAGGAACGCAAAAACGAAAAGAAAACCTGCAAACTCTCGGAGGAAAAAGGTTACAATTGATAATAATAAAGATACTGAAACAAGAGATACTACAAAATCAAAGCAAAAGAAAGTAAAGAAGAAAATAGAAAAAAATAATAGGAAGATTGATGAATTTATATCTGGAAACCATGCAATGTCCTTAGAGGAGTCCTTTGAAAAAATGAATATTACACCAAATATTACACCAAAAAGATCAAAGCGAGAAAATATTTCGAGTAGAGTGAACGAGTTAAAAATAAGTGATGTACCTGAAGATGCTGCAATCATGAACATAAAACAAATGAAACGTGGGCCACAATTTAAAAGAGTTCTGGAGGTAGAAAAGTTAAATTCAAAGCAAAATAACACGTATGACAAGGTGTTTAATGATCTCTCTCCTGATGACTTTATGAGCGAAAATGAAGATAATGATATAGATGTAACACATGTGATAGAAAATATATGTGGCAAACAAACTTTCCAATTTAGTATAACAAACTGCCAATCTACAGAATCTACTAGCCGGTCTACAGAAAACGTTATACAAGGATGTACAAAAATTGATGAATTTGAACCTGTGACATACACTAGAGAAGATTATGTTCATACACAGGATGAAAAACGGAAACCACGTAACTCTGATGATGAATTTGGCGATATTAATGAATCATATATTCCTATTAATCAAAGAATACAGATAGAACAAAACCGAAGGTTTTTATCGACGCACAATCAAATGAAAAAGAAACTTAGCTTTGATTTTGAAAATATTATGGACCAAACTAATAACGATTTTGAAAGTATTATGGATCAAACCGAAAACGAAACCATATGTTTAGATACGTGATATTATATAAAGCATGTACTTTTTAATTAAAGTTTTTAATTTTTAAGAAGAAAGTTTTTAAATATATAAAAATAACTATTTCGCATTATATCTATGTTAAATTTTGGTTTTTAAAATATATAATGTGTACTCCAGTCAATACAGATAGGATACTTTAATATTATACATTTTTTTTTATATTTGATATTTAAATTTAATTATCTTAGGTTGGTATGCCACCTATTTTCTTATATTTCTTATTTTTTTTTATAATAAATATCTTATGACTTATAGAAATTTTCGATATTCAGTTCTTTCCCATATTTTACAAAAGTTTTCCTTTGGTGTTTTCCGAGGTAAGGGGGGAAACACCAAAGTTCTAGTGATTTTAATAGAAGTAATCAACAGCGTCTCTAGGCTTCTATGTTCCCCCCTTATCTCAGGAAAGGACAGATCGTTGACGCGTAGCGTACATACATACACGCGGAATCTTTTAATCAGTTTTTTTTTTTAATCTTAATTTTATTCCTTTGAACAAAGGGAACGTAATTATAAGGAGAAAATTTATTAGGATAGCAATTACGCAACATAAAAACGCAAAGTTTTTGGTCACGTCACGTTTTTACCTATTTTACCAATCACGTGTCCGGCGCAAGGGACGTGGTAGGGGTGCGTTCGGAAACGTCACCAGAGTATACTCCCTTCTCTTTCTATCTTTAGCGAGTTAGAAGGAGAAGGGAGTATACCCGTGTGTACTCTGATGACGTTTCCGAACTCAGCCTAGCTCTCGAACTCCCCTAAATTGTGGTACTTCGGCTCCCTGCGGAGCCGGAAATCCATATTTTCGGGCATAAAGAAGATAACTTCCCTAAATTAAATTCCTCAATTTTCAAACAATCGAAACGAGCCTGAGTTTTTTTATTCACGCCGTTCTTGAAACGGAAAATTTTTTATTTTAGTCGCGTTTAGCAGACCAAGCCGCTCAGTAGCAATCGAACGTGATTGGTTCTTACTTTTAGAACCAACCAATCAACGCAGAGTGTTGATAAGACGAACAACAATTGTGCAACAGTTGTGTCTGCTGAACGCGCCCATGGCGCAAGCTCTGCGCGCGCGATCTGTTTATGTTTGAGAGAAAGACGGCGATGTTGCCGACGTCGGATCGGAATCGAGTGGGAGTGGAGTTGAGTTGAGCGTAGCGTAAACGCTCATCTCTGAGTAAAGTTATAGCACAAAGCTTTTTGAGTTTTCTTTGCAATCCCAATTCCCAATTCCCAAACAGTCTCTTTCTAAGGGGGACGTTAGAATGAGACGAAGAGTGAGTTAACTAAGGTGACCTAAGGTTAGAAGTTACCGACGTTTGTGAAACTGGGCCTTATTTTATTGCCACCAAACAGAAACGTTAGTAAGGAATGGGATAATTATCTGCGGTGATCTGCGGTTAGCGAGACTGAGGTAACGATGAAGTATTCTGGTATAAAATGATATCGGCATTTAAGTATGTACATTTTAAAAAATTTCCTTTGTAATTTACGTGTCTCTAAAAATTTAAACTTTTATGAAATATATTAGATACATGATGATGTTGTCGAGCCAAAACTGTCAAAAAATCTGGAAATGCGCAACAATACCGCGAATAAGTGAAGAACTATGCCAAAACTATTATGAGGACAGAAATTACATATCGACTTCTCGGATGACATGTTATGGATACGAAGAGGGAGGCACAGACACTTGTCAAAGTAAGATGTAAAACATAATTAAACGATTATTATTTATTATTATTCACACTTGCTATATATCATTATTCATATGGTACAGGGTGATTCTGGAGGATCAATAGTGAGTGATAATATTCTCCTCGGTATAACTTTGTTTGGAGACAGTTGTGCTAAAAAGAATTTGCCTGGTATATGGTATATACACAGATGTCACATTATTTCGACATTGGATTTGAGAAAAAACCGGAATAGATGCGTAAGTAATTTATTATCATATAATGTATGTATAAAAACTACATACTTGCTAAAATATAATTTTATTACAAATAAATTGCATACATATATGAAAACGATGTAATCTTTTATATTTTGCTTTAAAATTGCATTTGCAGCTAAAAGAGATTTTGTATAATTATGTTGGAACAAATGTGTTGAGTAAAAAAGTACCACACGTATGCACTGCCGATAATACCGTTTAATGAAATATTTTTTTTATTACACGATATTGTTTTATGTGCTGTGCACTGATACTTGAAAATTACATCAAATTTTATATTCATAGTTTTCTGACTTAAAGAAATTATGCTAAAACAATTTTCTTTGCATATATGTATGTTACAGTGCATAACTTTAAACAATCTGTTAAATTCAAAATTCAATAATATTCACTAAACTTGCAAATCCGTCTCAATATATTCAACTATCTTTCTCTTTCATTTGTTATAAGAAAAACAAATTCTACAATACATACGAATCAACTTCGAGATTCAGTAGTTTTTATGTGGAATCGCTTTTGATATATCGATGCTCGAGATTACCATTTTGAATACTTGCGAGAACATTGTATATTTATGATAATGAAAAAATGTTCAATCTTTTTGTCAATCCATCAACGTTGACTCCACAATCCTGGGTGGGTTTTGGCCTGTTCTAAAGATTCGATCTTCTTTGTGAACATTTGCAACAATAAATGTTTCACGTGAAGTGGTTGTTAGCCACAACTCCTAATTAAAAGAATCACAGAAATTTCTGTCAGAGTCTTTTACTCTTTGTTTGTGTGAATTAAAATAAATTTAAAAATCCTATAAATTAAGGAATCGAATTCGAAACCGCCACAATTACAAATCTGCCACTTTTACACATAGCCAAGCGGCATCCCGTTTGATCTTTTTGTTAAAATAAATTTTTTCCCTGACTTTTAACTGACTTTGAATGGTCTTGAATGATGCATAATTGTATGCGTCTTAAAATACTATATTAACAAGTAAATAAAATTATATAATTCCAATTTTTAAAAAAGTTGATCTTAAAATGTTCTTGTTTTTATAAACAAAATTGTATTTTTTCTAAGATGTTTCTCTTAAAATCAAACAAGTTTAAAGCTTTTTTTCTGTCATTAAAAATGAAAGAGTTATTCAGGTGACTTATTTTAAAAATGCCACTTCTCTGTATATAAATTTTTTTTATAATAACAAATGGTATATATAGTAAAGTATAATTTAATGTTATACTTATCAATTACCAATGAAATTTGAATCGCTCGATAAATACGTAAGCAAGGTTTACTTTCACATTAAATACAATGATAAAAATAATACAAAATATAAAGCCAAATTTATCATTAAAATAGGTACGTATATTCATATAATTATAACGTTCTGCGAGATCCATTGGTAATTACTAGCGGATCAGATTGTTTACCATTATTTTATAAATTCGATTGTAGCATGATTAGTTCAAAGATCCACGAATGTTTTTATACGTTATAAGGATTCTAAATTTATTCTTTCTAAAGATGGTTGAAGCGTTAAATTATAGTTATTCCAGAATAAAATCTCAAAGAATTTTACAATGTTAAATGTCTTTCGAGCATTCTGATAACATACTATTTTAATCGTAAATTAAACATAAATTTGGTATAAACTCAGATTTGATATAACTCACATATCTATATCACGAATATATTTAATAGTATACAGAATATGTAAAAGATACAGAATATTAATACTAATTGCTATAATACGAACAAGTAAACTGATTCTTCATAAACTTCTTTGAATCAGGATGAATTAAATGATAAACAGGGAAATAAAATATTTATTATTAGTTTATACTTCGTTTTAAATACTTGATATTTATATGTGTTGTTAATATATTTTGTATGTAGTACGAATTATTGAAAAACCGTGGATCAATAGCGAGTACCAGGAGGTACAAATCTCGCAAATCACTTTCTACATCCTTCACCTTATAATAGTGCTGTGCGATTTTCTAATCCTGATTTGATAGGTATGTTAGAGCTTCATTTTGTGGGTGATTTCTTATAGTGATAGATATTAATGAGACTTCAGACTGTCTAATGAGACCTCGAATGAGACTGAATTCTTAAGTCGACTGTAATAATAATATTAATGGAATTTCTATCAATTTATCAATTCTTTCGACAGTTCGACAGTCAATTATGAATTTCCTCCTGCTGTAAACATTTATATACAAATTTCATGTTTCGCGTATTAAGAAAGGAAATGGGGCTGTCAGTATACAAAATCAGTTGATGTCGGACTGCTGAGAAGTTTATCGATCGTACTATACTACAAACAAATTTTACTTCAGTGTTTGCTAATATCGTGCTTCGTGTATTATAGTCTACTGGATTCTCCATGATTTACTGTTTCAACAATTCTATTAAAGTTTTTGTTGCTTTAGTTATCGCCATTCGAAAATTTCATGTGACAGTGATCATAAATCTATTTTATGTACCGTACAAACAACGAAACTTTATTACGAGGAAATTATTATCTTTGAGTTAGTATGTAAAAGAACATTGATCTGACTGAAAAGTTGATTATACATGATATCTGGAAGGCATTATTAAACTTTTAATATTCTTCCGTGTCTATATCTATTTGTGGACCAATCGCTCTGAAGTGCTTGAAATTGCCTTTCCTAAGTCAGCACACAGCGATGGCCGCATCCTAATTTAGCATTGAAAGGGTCAAGCAAATGGATTCGGAATCTCGACAAAACGTTTCACATTTGCATAAACTGAAAAAGGTAGCAAAGGTGAAATTAAGTCTCGATCGGTATTACTTACTTGTTGGTACACATGCTGTTAAACGATAATCCGATCTCAAGAATTACGCGTAATAACATGACACTTTTCCGATATCATATCCTTTTTATTCTCGAACGCAAAGCGTTATTAAATGTGGACGCGACAATGACCGTTTGAGAGAGAACGAAATAACGAAGAAAGATCACACTAAAGCGGACTGGACGGTTCAAGTGAGCCTGAAATACGATTCCAAAACGTTTATAAGATCACTCAGAGAGATGGACCTTAATATAATTCATTTATAAGAAAGTATGGAACATCCAATGTGGTAATCGGATTTTACGAAGTCCTTAAGTAGACTTCGTATTGATTTCCGACTATTCGACTACCTGCGCTATATCTGGCTCCGATCATCGTTTAAAATACATTTACCATTTTATTGAGGCTAAGATGATATTATATTTCTCTCGTTTGTACTTTATATTAGTAATATCACGATTGCACTGTAGAACTTATTGTTAGTTTAGAAAATAAAATAGCTAATATATAATGCAGAGATTCTTGTAAACTAAAAATAAAGAGAATCTTTATTTTTTTAACTATTGTAATGTTTTGCATAAAATGCTATGAGATTAATGGTTGTTAAATTTAGTAATATTTCTCCGTTTTCTTTCATTTATTATCAAATAAAATTACACAAAATAATTTGTTTTTATTATCTGTAGTTTATAACGTGAATCTATCTGCCTATCTATGTATTAGTGTTTGTTTTGATGCATTGATATTCGAATTATTGCTTCAACTTAATCAACATAGTTAAACTAACATGGGTAACACGATCTTCTGAATAGGCAACAGATAATATAATTGTCACAAAGCGAATACAAAATTGTTACAGTCTTGGTTGATAACTTAATGCACAGCACGAGTAAGTTTCCAAAGTGTCTCACATTTGATTGAACAATCGACTCTAGAAAATGATTCAAATTGTATATCATAAACTTGTATGTTTAACTGAAAATATAGCATGATTAATTTTATTATTGTAATGATAAATATGAGAGAGAGAGAGAGAGTGTGAGAGAGAGAGAGAGAGAGAGAGAGAGAGAGAGAGAGAGAGAGAGAGAGAGAGAGAGAGAGAGAGAGAGAGAGAATATAAATATATGATTACAATATTTTGTACCATATAAACTATGGTACAAAGATAATATTTCTCGTTCGTTATTATTACAATTGAGAGAAACAATATAAGTAAGAGAATAATAAATAATAGAAATTTGTAAGGGGGATACATTTGACAAATGCCATTCTTAGATTCTTACTTTTATCAACCCCAAATATATATAGCTTATGCGTTTTATACGTACGCGCATTACATGTACGTCGTTGTCTGTATTGGAACGAGGGCAGATAGTGAGGGTCGATGGGGTGGTTGCTGGGATTTTCAGTACGCGCGCGATCTCCGTGCCGAAAACACGTTTCTCCCGAATGTCCCGAATATAACTTTCAAATTCGTGCGATCTTCGATGAGAAATCAGTAAAATTATACAGAAAATCAGTATCGATGATTACATGATACATTTAACAATTTATTGTTGCAAAAGTGCAAAAAAGTATAAATCAAAACAAAGATAATTTTAAAATTGTTCTAAATTAAAACGTAAGACGAATAAGGCGAGTTAAAATAAGAATTTGGCAATAAATATTTATGTTAATTTTTACTCGTATCGCGACAAATATATGCTCAATCGGGATGTAATGCAAACGACGGATTGTGAATTTCGAATGCTCATCAGAAGACAATTAGCCGTATATCTACATGCTAGTGAATTAATCATGCCGACAGTATCCGTTTAAACGCTGTTATTAATTCAACTATTCGCTAGCAGGTGATAAGATAATGGTAACGAAAATAGATAACACATAAATAGATAAATTTATCGCAGATAATTAAGGATAAATGCCTGATAAATTAATAATAAAATGAATTGTTAGATAATATTTTGTAATATTAAAGACGGTATACGTTACAAATAAGAATAATATTTGACATTGAGATAAACATTGAGTATTTTACACAGGACGTAAAGTTGATAATAAACGGCGGATAGAAAGTGCGTCAAAGATCTAAATGATATTTAACTTAATTTTTAATGTGCGCGCGCAAACGCAAATTAATGTTTAGTTTGTATAAAAAATTTAATAACACGTAAAAATGTATCGCGTTAATTAAAAATGAAAAATTTTTCGTGCAAAATTAATTTTTTATAAATCACAAAGTTACGTTAATCACAATTATATAATGCTTACGTGTAAATGTGCACTTATCTTTCCGCACTAATTCTCGCATTGAAGGTGCCGGCGCTCCGGATATTACATATTACGTGCTTATGTTGCGAAATATGCGATATTGTATGAGACTATATTTTACGGACGACATACGGTGCGTTTGATGTCGACTTATCACCATGATATATCGCGAACACTTTAATTAATGAAGTCTTGTAAGGCGAAAGCATACGGACAATTAACGCGGCGGTACCTACACGTTGACGTTTATGTTGTAATATCTATAATATTCACGCGTCTCATTTATTGCGGCAATAAATGTTATGACACATATTGAATAGATTATTTAATCACATGAGGCTATTAATTTAATGTCAATAACGTAATTAATTAATTTCAAATTGAGTTATCATATTTAATAATTTGTGATCAGTATATGTGAATCTGGCTCTCTATCATCTGGTAAGTTGTATACGTATACATATTTAATATTATTATAATATTCATAAGCTATATAGTTGAAATCTGTATCAAGTTTAGTACTATATTGTCAGGCTTTTATATGTTTAAAAGTTTTTAAAACAATAATATGTGTATAAATTGTTTTAAAATTTTGAAAGAGCGAGATATTAAAAAATCTTACACAGATTAAAAAGTCAATTTGACATACAAAAGATGCTGAAACTTTCTTATCGCTTTCTAGATAACATTAAAAAGTTAAAGTCCTTTTGCTTTCTACTAAAAAAAATTAAAATATATCGATTTAAACTAAACACATATATAACGAATATTGATGTGTTCCGGTTATACAGTTTGCACGTGCCCTTTATTACTACATAAATTGAATTAGTTACGGCTTGTGTGTAATTAATCGGATAACCCGAGTAATCCGTGGGAAAATTATCATGTTAGAATATTATGCCGTAACGCAATTTTCATATTTTCTGTGTTAGCAGTTGCTCCGCTGACAGATTGTAAATGCAAATTTCACTGTCCTAGCATCAAAAGCACAGCGCGACTAGGAGATTTAAGTCTATAATAAACAATTTTATGGCTGGAGTGTAACAGGTGTCGCGAAATGAAATTGAGTGTTGTAATCTCGATTGCTTTTACGCGATTTTGAAATGAGATTGCATTCTAGTATTCGAGGAATCCCTATCTATTATCAGAGGCCCTGGCGCTGGCATTCCGTTTACTTAAGAAGAATCGGAATACTAAGTCGAGGCACGCCGGTACATGCAGTAAACAGACTTCAAGCAAAATTGTTTCGCAAAAATAATTGCTGTTGCAAATTGGCTCAGTCATTATTCACAAGTGCGTATAATCAATGAATGTAATAAATGAATGTGTTTCGTGAATCAATGATTCATCTGCTGTGAGCGAATCGCACAATTACAATAATTATTAATTACAATTATTATTCTTAGAATAATCGGTTTAATTATAAAATGCATTCAAAATTCCACGAGAGATTATCAGTCTCGCGAACAATTCATCATCATTAATGACACAATTTTGCGAGCGAGTTTTGAATTAAAATCAATATGCGCAAGAGACTTGAGCGCGAAAGACCGACGCATTTACATGAATTGCGCGTACTTTTATGCAAAATCGCTCATCGCATGCTCATCGAGTGTTTGAAGAATTACTGTAAATTTATTACCGTCACCTCCATAATGTCCGACGCTGTTTGAACAGAGTGTTTTCACGAACTTGGACCACAACCGCGCAAACAACTCAATTTGTTACTTCTATTCTTCGCTTCTTCGTGCTTCTAAATTTGCCTTGTTTCTCCACTATTTAATCCCGTCGTCGTTATTTATCTTCGTTTTATTTACAGAAAATCTCAGTGCAGATCTTGGCCAGTAATTGACTAAAAACTTGTGCTAGCAGAAATTAAATGTTATTTGATAATTACGTTGCGGAACATGTGTTATATAATTATGTATGTTAATAAAGAAATTAAAGTAGAGGAACAGAGACTATAATAACGAATGCAAATAAATAAATAAATATTTTTTAACAGAAAAAATACGACCAAATTTGCTAAAACTATTAAATTATTTGATTTGAAACAGTTTTAATGAAATAAATGATTGTGCTAAAATAAAGCCAAAGCGCAAATAATGGTGCGCATAAATAACGTTGTAACTGACAGCATGGTTTAAATGAATTAATTACATTTTATGCCAATCGAATCATTTTAATATGTAATTTTGAACTCTCCTCAAACGAAAATCGATTAAAAATAATATAACATATAATTTTATAAAGATAATGCAATATATACGAAATCTTGATCGCTAATGTTTTGTCAAAATATAAGAAATGCAATTAAAAAAAAGTGAAAGTTACTTTATAAGTATGCAACTCACAAGAATTTTTTTTCGGCTCAGAAACTAGGATTCTTATCGCTTTGACTTCGTTAAATTATATGGCATATCATTTTCTCTGTTAAGGATAGTAAGAAAGAAATATTCGATTTGATTACTAATTTGATCTGTTTAAATTACACTATTAATTGTAAGGTAATTTGTGCGCTCTGGTTATTACTCTCATTAGACTTGTAATTTATCTCTTTGAGAACCATCTGTCTTTTACAATCTCTAAAAATATTTAAGTTGTAAAGAAGTTTTTAACAAATATTTTCATAAAATCTAATTTTTATAGAAATATAATGTGTTTGATAATTTGAAATCGGAAGAAAGATATATATTCGGTAAAAATATGAGCCGACCGTACGCAATAAGTATTACTTTCACGCTGGGCTGGTTTTAATTTCCGGACAGCATCGTACTCATTAGACATCATACTCATTTGCATCATACTCATTTGAGTATCTTTCACCTTGTATTATATAATATACATTTCTCAGTATATTTTTTTCCGTTACGAAAAAGTTCATCTTTCATGGAGCACAGTCTTCACAGAGCATAATTTAAAAAGAGTGTTTCTTTATACACATATATACCTAGTGACGCATTAAATACTTATAAACGCGAAGTAAAAAGAAATGATTTTACGCATCAGGTTTTTTTTTTTGTTATACGAGACCATGTCATGTTTTTATGGTTGTCATGCATTTTTAGCTTGCGTGTTGGCGCATAACACATGCCAGATACAAGCTTGAATAGTTGACACGGAAAGGTACTCTATGTTAAGAATTTTCGTTATTTTTTTTTTCGTGTAACATAAGACAACGAAGCGCACATTGCATATCATTTTTTTAAATCACGTGGAAGTATTCGATGCGGAGCATAAGATGTCCAGTATTTAATATTTAAATATTATTTTATTAAATATTTTAACATTATATCAAGTATCTCGTGCATATTACGTTATATTCCTTTTTATTTATAAATTTAATTTTCTAATAAAATCTGGATAAGAAAAGTAACTTTTTTTTATGAAGTTAAAATTAATATTTTTGCACCAAATTGCAACAAATTAAATTACTGTTGAGAGAGAAATGAACCAATAAAATTGTATAAGAGGAATATAATAATTAGAGTTTGTAATATATAATAAAAAGCTAACTTAATTATAAGATTAAGAATTTTGTTATAATTAATCTTACATCAATAAAGATAAAGTATGTAGTGAACTATCTTTTTCTGTTAAAATTGTAAAGGTGAAGAACTAAACGTATGGGTTTGATATTTGAATTTTCTGAGGAATTCTTCTTTGTTAATAGTTTATACTTTAAAAGTTGTTTGTTCTTTGTCAAGGAAAAATCGACTTTGTATGAAGTATGAGTACTATGAGTTACAAATCGACACGAGTTTTACGTCAACTCTATCAGATATCGATTTCAAGAACGAGAACTTTGCCGGATACTCTTGCACTCTGGAATAGGGTGACAATTTTTATCTCTCATGTAGTCTCTTGTAGTGATCTATTTGTTACGATTATTATTCTTCTCCAATTCAAGTAGATCTCAAATTTTTATGATATGTAAATATTTGTTATAACGACGATTTTTTTTATGTTCTAGTGAATGTAAGCTTACGTGAGGATCGAGTAAGCAAAATAAGGACATGTCAAAGTATTGCTGTATTAGTAGATGTTAATTGATTAAACACGTTCAGCTTTGTTTCACAGTCAAGAGCAGTTGCATTATAGGTTCCACTTCGCCGTGCTGATCTTTTGTTATACCGAAGTAATCTCGCAGAGCATACTTATTCGCTCTTTGATATTTTAATGCTGACGCCTGGTTTTTTTAATATTGTGAGACTGGTTTTTATTCGCGCGGCCGTTACACATTTCTCACTGCACAAGAAGAGAATCTCGTGTCTCGCAGGGCGCATGTGGTTCGCGCTGTACAATGTTTGAAGAAAAATCTTACTTTAAGATCCGGTGACGATATTCTTTCGTAGTACCGTCATCTCGTTTGACACATGGCAGATATGTGCATGCTTCCAATGCATTTATAAGTTTTCTAAAGTATTACTTTTTTCGAATATATTAAAGTACAAAGTTGACGTGTGATAAGAATAAGCAAGAAGCCTTATCCTTATCCTTAAGAAGGGTTTTGTGATTTATTATTCTGAAGCATTGAAGATGTGCTCCTCTGGCATTTTAGAGCAAAATCAATTTTACAATAAATTTTTTATCAATAGGACGATACTTGATTCATTTTAATATAAAAATAATTTAAAGTTGATCGAAACAATATAAAAAATTTGACATTTATATTGTTGTTATCTATACTATTCTCCGAGAAATTGTCAGTAATTAGATTTAAAGAAATTTTATTATAAAGAGAAATATGATAATAATTTAATTAAGACATTACGTTATTAATCTATTTTGGTTCATGTAAATATAATAATAACATTGTTCTTTTTTGGTAAAATTAAACGCCAATTAATTAAAATACATTTGCAATTAAAAAGCTAAATAAAACAATAAATTCTTGATTGAGAAATTCAATCTGTGTCAAAACGAAATATAAAAGCTTTCAATAAAATAACAAATTTTATAAAAACAGTATTCATTTTTCAGAGATTTAGAAACATTTCGGTATTTTGTCGAGCGCGCTCTGTGCTTCTCATAATCGCAAAATTAAATAATTTCACACAATCTTCTACCAATTAAGGTTTACTACAATTTCAAATGTCTTAAATATAGAAAATTACAAAGCAAATTTGATAACATTAAATGAGTATTAATTGCGGATGCTCTTTAAATATCATCTAGTAATTTCTAAAGTTTTTATATGAACTCAATCAGGATCAAAAATGGTATCCATATCTTATTAACTTTACGACAATAGACTCAAAAAGTTTGAAAGGCTTGGCTGTAATCATTGTAATAGAAATTAGAAATTTAATTGATAGAGATGGTGCCGTGTCAGGAACGGAATGTTGCTAAGTGCAATTATTCTGTCGATAAAGTTCTTCAATCGATTTCCTGTGATAGGTACATGAGAAATGCTGGTGTAGGTGGCAATTTGCTGGAAA